TCTCTACTGTGTGTATTTTGTTCGAGGGAATGATTGTTGAGAGAAGTCTCACACAAGCTAATTAAGAAGATGATCATGAGCTTATAAACAATAATACATCTTCATTGTGGAGGTTCGTAATTTCTAATTAGTATTGTGTTGGATTTGACTAAAATAATTATTCAAATTTTGTTTTATAATATATTTTGTAACGAAAAAACTAAATAATTTATAATATATTAATTATAGAATTTAAATTCATAGATAAAATTATAAAAAAAAATGTTGTTCATCCACTAAAAATAATTTTTAACCTAATATATTTTTTATTAAAAATATTAAAATAGGCAACGGCGTGCTTCTGTGCTCTGTTTGGATAATGTTATTTATTTATTTATTATTATTTATTTAAAATGGTTATATTATAATATTCTTACCTGAAAACATGCCTTTTTTTTTTTTTTTTCTTTTTTCTTTCTTCTCTGACAAACTTTACTAACTCCGTTTGCTTTCCGTCGCCGATTCCAGCGGCTACTACTCGCCGCCTCGCTGGCAAACCCACGTGCTTCACTGACATTCTAATTTTTGGCTCTTCATTGCCTCCAAAGGCCACCCATCTGCCACCTCATATTATGTCGACATTCCACGTCGTCGCCATGTCATCCCTCATCTCCCTGCCATATCACTCCCCCACCCACCTCCCACTGTCTGCCATGTGGATAACGTGGATAGCGTGGTCTTATTATTATTTTCTTTTTGTTCTTTTTAACTTTCGAGCTCTACTTGCCTATGTGAATCTCACTAAATGAATGTGTATTGGAGAGAGAAACGTCGTTGAGATTCAAAAAGAGCGGATTGTGAGATCCGACATTTATTAAAGAGGGAAACAAGTGTCAGCAAAGACGTTGGGCCCTCAAATGGAAACCCAAAAAATGGTAATATCTAGTAACAGTAGACGGTGTGTCGGCGAGAACGCTAGGCCCAAAGGAGGTGGATTGTAAGATCCAACATCGATTGAAAAGAGAAACTCTGTTGGCCATGAATGGCGTGGATTATGAGACCTCGTCGATTGGAGGAGGAGTGAGTGCGGACAGAGAAAACTTAAAAAATACAATATTGCTCCTGGTAGACTTGGGCCGTTACAAAATCTATCATTTTAAAACCACAATATAAAAGTTATTTTTTTTTTATTTTTTCTTTTTCCTATTAAACCCAAAGGAAGGTTTAAAACTAAAAATTAATTAAAAAAATTATATTAAGAAAAGTGTAAAAATTAATGAAAAAACACAATTTTCAAAAATTAAAACTGAATTAATATTTTTAAATTTTTTTTTTTTATTTTGAGATCAAAAGGTTCTGTTATTACATCCAAAATACTTATTTATTTTAAATTAATTTATAACCAAAATATTTAAAAAAAAAAAAAAAAAAAAGGTCAGCTCGCTCTTAATCTTAATTATCAGTTAATTAATTAAAAGCCGTTCTCAAATCCCCACAAATCAGGACCCTAATTTTCATTTAAAAAAACAAAATAAATTAACGGATCGTGGCCCCACGATCCACCATCAACTTGCTCCCATTATCCAATCAGAGCCGTTGATTCTTTTTCTCGAGATAAATCATGGTTACTTCCACGATTTGCATGCTTCGGATTTTTTAATATTATCATAAAACTTCTTTAAAAAAAAAAAAATCATCAATAAATTTTTCTTTAATTTTAAAATTATATATTAAATTTTTTAATATTAGCATTAAAATTTAATGATTTTGAATATTAATATGATAATGATCGATATATCCAAAAAAAAAAATATTATTATCAACTAACATATATTGAATCAGTATTATTCATACGTTAAGCTATTAACAAAGAGAATAATTATCATTATCTTCTTATAAATGCAATTTGAATAAACACGGCAGCCACATCTTTAAATAAATATTTTAAACGTTTTAGAAAATAAAAAATTCAAAATAAATTACGACCTTAAATAAATTTATATGTATGTAGTTATTGTTTTTTTATTTGGATAGATTTGAACATTTAATCTCATATTCAGATAATTTCTTAAATTATTAATATTAATATTTTAAACCATATTTAGAATTTAGTTATTATAGTTAATTATCGTATCTCGCGTTATACTAAAAAAAAATTTATTATTATTATTATTATTATATTAATTTTGTAAAGTGTTAATATATATATATAGGTATGAGCAAAACAGGTATCTGGTTGTGGGCCCACGAGAATACCTGGCAGATTAGATCTAGCCACGTGGCATTGAGCCCTCGTAAAACGACGCCGACTTGGATTCCCATACAGTTTCTTATCCTTTGATTGAAGCAAAAAGCTTCTCATCCCATCACGATTCCGTTGCCAGCTCATTTAATTCCTAGTTTTTTCACAAATATATATTTAAAAATTAATAATAATTATTTTATATTGATATTTAGCTAGTTAATTTAAATGGTAAATTATTTTGTTTAATCCCAATTATTTGGTAAATGTATAATAATAATACATTTTTTAAAAATAGAATTAATAAAAAATTTATAAGATAAAACCGACCCGAAAGAAGGATAAGGTTGAGCTATTTAAATATCTGAAAGAATATGACAAGTTTTCAAAAAAGTTATTTTTTTAAAGTTAGTAGGTATCTAAAACGTACAATAAATTAAAATAAACGAATGAGAAAAAAATTAAAATATAATTTTTGTTCGAGTATTTCTTTTAAAGTTAATTTTATTTGAATAAAAATATTATAATAATAAATCTCATTTATGAAAAAGATACGAAAGGAATATGAAAGGATTTATTTGGCATAAAATTAAAAGCGTGGAAATTTACCCAAAAAAAAATCTAATTTAATTTAAAATATATTTATAAATACAACAAATTGGAGTATTTTTTAAATTTAGAAGTTAATGAATTAAATTACATATTAAAAAAAATATAATTTTGGGATGTCAAAAGGATATTCGTTGGGATTAAAGCACCTAATTTTGTCAACTATATAGCTTGTTGACTCACGTGCCCTATTTAATTATCTCTAAAATAATTGCTTAAAAAAATATTTAAAATAATAATAATAATAATTTAATTTATTTTTTTTAAATCACTCAGATCCCTAAATCCTTGCAACGAAGGGAATTATTTATTAGCTTTCTTTTGTGGCTAAATACTTAATAATTGTCTTTAATATTTTATGTTATTTCAAATATAAATTTTAAAAAAAAATTATTCTATTGATATATTAAAGAAAATCAAAATTTAAATGCAAATAATCAAAAAATTGAAATAAAGATCGGTTTTTTTTAATGAAAAATAATAAAACAAATATTTAAAATTATTAGTTGAATCTATTTATTCACGAGGGGAATAGAGACAGAGACAGAGAGAGAATAATCAAAATATGAAATTACGGATATACCCTCGAGGAAACTAAGTTTTCCTCCCAGCATTCTGGAGGTAAAATCGGGCCCCACCACATTTCCGCAATAGCTAATATACAATCAATAGGGTCAAAACTGTCTTTTGATACCCTCCTCTTGAGCTTATCCAAACCTGTGGGCTCCACGGAATATGCCACGTTTATGGGCCCCACAAATGGATTATTTTTATTTAATTTATTTATTTTTTATATTTATAATGGGTAAAATGTCAGTGGGAGTACTACAGAAAAGAATAGAGATCTATAATACCCATTTATTTAGAGTGGGACCCACTTTCTTTTTTTATTTTATAAATTTAGAAAATAAATAAATAAATATTGAATTTAGTTTATCCAAAACAAAACCTTCTAGCGCATCGTGCTGCTCCATCATCCGCCACACGCATCCGATCATTTTTTTAAATAATATTATTTAAATTATTACATAAAAATTAAAATTTTAGAAAAAAAATGATTTTCTAAACAAAAATTTAGAAATTTAACTAATTTTTTTTAATTAAAGATTAAAAAATAAGTTAAAGTAATTAAAAAATGCTCCAAAAAAGGGATAATTAAAAGAATGCTTTAATTTGTTTGACTAATTAAGACTCTTAAAAATGTCATTTAAAAAAATAGATAAGAACAAACATATTCTTTTAAAATTTAAAAATTTAATAATAATAATAAATGTAAAATCATTAATTGTACGTCCCTTCAAATAGGACGAAAATAGTATTATTTGTTTTTTTGCAGAAAAACCCTTACAAAAAAGCCATTTTCTACTTGGGCCCAGCAAGATGCCAAGTGCTCGCCCTCATGGTAACAACTGTACACCTCCCCGCATACCAATTTTCCTCCTCTTTAATTGAAAATGAAAAAAGGCGTCGCCGGATTAGCAGTAGAATCCTCCTCGGCTCCGACCCTCAGCTTCCGCAAAACCGGTTTAATTAAATTTTTTTTTTAAATAAATAAAATAAAATAAACACGTCAAATTTTCGTTCAATATTTTAAAGGGTAGATTTAAAAAATATAAAACTAAATTGTAATGTTCTATGCTAGGGATTCAGACGAAATATCAATTCTGCCTGACATTCATCTAGGACGTGACTGTTTTACCCATTGGTAGCTTTTAAGAGTGAAATCTATCCCTACAGATCAACACGAGCCTTTTTAGCATGCTAAATTGTAATGTTCTATGTTCTATGCTCGGGATTTAGACGGAATATCAATTCTGCTTAACATTCACCTAAGTTGTGGCTGTTTTACCTATTTGTAGCTTTTAAAAGTGAAAACTATTCTTACTGATCAACACGAGCCCTTTTAGCATGGTTTGTTCGCACTCAAAAATTCATTTAGGAGAGAAGGTCACCAGATTGATTTATGGTAAATATATTTAATTTTAATTTTTTAAAAATTAGCTACCAAAAAAAATAAGAGACGATTGAGGGACTAACCTTTTGTATTGTGATTTAAAAAATAAAAAAATTATTTAATTAAATTAAAGCATTAATTTCCGTTTTTGAGTCCGCGACTCGCCCTATTAAATCAGTGTCTTCATATAAATACCGTTTTTGGTTCTGGTTTTGGGTTTCTTTTCTCACAATCAACCGTTGTTTTGCTTTTTCACGTAAAACCTTCGTCTGCAAACGAAAGCGAGAGAGAAAGAGAGATCGAAAGCTTGTCGCATTTTATTCTCTTTGGCTTTTGCTTTCTACATTTTTCCCTAATGGTTATGGAGGATAACGAGAGCTGTGGAAGTAGAGCGTACGGCTCCTTGTCGCCGGCGCAGTCTCGGCAACAGAGGCAGAAGTTTGAGGTCTACAATGAGGTTCTTCGCCGTCTGAAGGATTCCGTCAACGAGGAGACGCTTCAGCCTGGTTTCGATGACGAACTATGGCTTCACTTTAATCGCCTTCCTACTCGGTATCTTTAACCTACTCTTTGCTTCCGTACTCTCTCCTACATTTCTTCTTTTTTTTCGTTTTGACTTGTTTATCGCGTTTTCCTGATCGAGATTCTCGTTTTTCTTCAATCCGTTGTTTGCGTGCTGGTTTGACGGTTGTTGATTTCTGGATTGCGATGTATTTTCGTTTGTGTTGGTAATCAATGTTGTTTTTGCATGTTTATTTGGATTTTTTTTTTATCATTATTATTGGATTAGAATCGGATCAGGTTTTCAGTTTTGGAGTGGAGAGAGCGGATTGTGTTATTGATATTGGCGAGTCGACAGTTGTTTTCTTGCTCTCTTGAATTAACCGATTCGATGTTAGTTTGCTTTGGAATTTCTTTTTTGCTTTATTGCTTCTGTTTGCAATGCAAGTTGTGGTCGTCCTCAACACTTCCTGAATTTTGCCGTTTAGTCTTTGTGTATCCCGTATTCTTTTTCTTCGCCTTGTTCGGTTGACAAATAGTTGATCAATTAGATTCAATGCTCTGCAGATATGCTCTCGATGTAAATGTGGAGAGGGCAGAAGACGTTCTCATGCATAAAAGATTATTGCAATGTGCTCACGATCCTGCAAATCGACCTGCAATTGAAGTTCGCCTAGTGCAGGTGAGCGTCATTGAGCGCTTTCCCTTTTTCCCCTTTCTCCAATCATGACACGTCAAGAACGTAGTGTTATGTGCATTTTGTTGTTTAGAACTGGATTACTGGATGGTATATATCCTGCATAGAACGTTTTCTGGTCATTGATGAACGACCAACAGTTATTTATGTACCATTATCAGATTATTTGGTCATCTCTTTTTTTGTAATGGATGGAACACCGTTTATTTTCTATCGGTCTTATTGCAAATTAGGAAAAAATAATAGTAATCATACAATAGGTTAAATTGATTCATCTACTGTGCTTTCACCTTATGACTGGTTGGGTAAGTCATTAATATGGAATGTTAGTGTTTACGTTAACAAAGATAAATAAAGCAATTGAATCTAGGCATTTTGAAGCATGCAAACCAGCATTCTAGACCACTAGGCCAATTAAATTTTTATTGTAATCTTAGACTTCTGAAGTTCTGCTGCAAATTTCTTTGGCTGAATTTTTCAATAGTATCCGTGTTTTTATTTTTTGTAAAAAAATCCATATGGCTGTTGATCTTTGTAAGTTTTCTTTATTATTGAGTTGGGAAGTTTTGTTTCATTTAGAATTTAAACGCTTATCTGGAATCGATGTCACTTATTTGCTCTCATTTCGTGATTTAAAATTTGTATTCTTAAGGATTGCGAATAGTTACATGAGGGGGCATTTTTATTCTCCCACCTTACTCTCCTTTGGTGCATCTTCAGTAAATTAATATTATCAATCCCACTCCTCTAGGTCCAAGCCATTTCTGATGGGAATTCAGCTGATTTTGCTGCTTCCGGTCCTGTAAAAGACACAGATCATAATTCTTCAAATTTACCGAGCAGGCAGAGGTATGCTTTTATGTCTTTATATTCTTGTATGATTACTGTCAGTAGTCTCTGATTATGTTAACTTTATGCAATGTTATCGTGTTTGATTACTGTCAGTGTTGATTTAATATTTATTATCTTTTTATTAATGTATGGAATCTTCTGATGGTTTTATAATTTGTTAGCATACATCCACCACCTGCCTTTGGGTCATCTCCCAACCTTGAAGCCCTCGCCCTTGAAGCTAATAATGCTCAGGATCAGGAGGTTGATCATTCCGTACATGCCAAAACACAATCTTTCCGGTAATCACTGTTCCCTTCCATAATGAATCAAACAGGTATAGTTTTACTGAATTTATTATTATTTTTAATTATTTAATTATTTACTTCAAATGATCTGATTCGTTTTAAAAGGTCCATCTGTTTCATACATGTACAGGTAATTCTGTGAGAGGAAATATCGTTTATTGAAACTTAACTGTTTTTTATAACTGGATCACTTTTTCCTCATTCTATCGAAGGTTTCTGCATTTGATTGACGTTTATTTCTCTATTGGTTTGCTAAATAATGTAGGCCGATGCATGAAATAACTTTCTCTACGGATGACAAGCCAAAACTTCTCAGTCAGGTATCTCACATAGACTTGGTTCCTCTTCAGAAGAGTATGCGTGTATGTTAGGCACATGGTATTCTTATGCTAGTCACCTTTGGTCCTGTCAATGAGTTACTAGTTTAGGCACTATGTAAACCTCTTTTATGAAAGCCAGTCATGTCCATTAACTCAGTAATAAAGGGTAGCATTCTTAGTTGATCTTACAATGAAGCTCTTATCAATAGGTACTTTATATATATATGAGATGTATCAATAGATTATTCACTTGAAACTGGACCTTGCTAATGACTAGTCATATAAAGCGTGGGAACCAGTTTCAGAATCTTTTACCTTGACATCTTTTACTGTGCTGAGCTGCAGCTTCTTTTTGTATATTTTTAGTTGACTTCCTTGCTTGCGGAGATTGGTCTGAATATCCAGGAGGCACATGCATTTTCCACTGTTGATGGTTACTCCTTGGACGTTTTTGTAGTTGATGGTTGGCCCTATGAGGTATATTATTCTTTTAGGTACATTTGAGCTGTAATGTAGTCTCTCTTTTCTATCTTCGCTTTCCAAAGTGAAAGGAAAATATATGTAATAAGGCATATTGGTCTGCTCTGTTCCTTTCCCTTACAAGGCCTATCTGTGCTTAAACCTTGAGCTCCGATTGTGAAAATGTTAAGGGTTAAAGTGTAATGCCGTCAAGTCCACCTCTTTTAATGTATAGCAATATATAGGTGCCAATAAATGTTTAACCTCTAATATTCGTCCTTTCCTAATGTTGTGAGAGCAATATTAATCGGGAAGGTAAGGATAACTGTGGTTTTGGATAGTTTTCTTTACTGGACATACAAGCTGTAATTTTAACTAATGCTCAAATCTAATCTGTATTTTGGCATTGAAACAGGAAACAGAGCGATTGAAGACTGCGATAGAGAAGGAAATCATACAGGTTGAGGTTGCTCCTTATCTAATTATTGGTTACATCAACATAGTGCATCTAGATTCCAATTTCTTTTATGATTATTTGCCCTGTCAACTCATGTAGACAATGTTTCTCTTTCTCTTCGGAATTCTTTTTTTTTTAATTTTCAGAGGAAGGCTTGGCCAAATCATAAATCCTTTTCAATAAGGGAACGGGATATATCAATTAAACCTGATCCTGATCGTGTGGAAATTCCCACGGATGGGACTGATGTATGGGAAATTAATCCTAGACATCTGAAGTTCGAGCATAAAGTTGCATCTGGGTCATATGGAGATCTGTAAGTCCGAAATGTTTCCCCATGTCTCTCTTATGTGTATATGTTTGGTACAATTTTATGTAAAGCCTAAATATCATTGTCAACAAAACCAGGTATAAAGGTACATACTGCAGTCAGGAAGTCGCTATTAAAGTCCTTAAACCTGAACGCGTAGATTCAGATATGCAAAGTGAGTTTGCCCAGGAGGTGTACATTATGAGGTAGGTCAGATATTGTTAATCTGTTATTCATAATCTAACATATATTTTATGCTGATTTTGATTGGTTTTCTTAGCATTCATGACATTGGAATTATCATTTCTTTGAGGTCAATAAATTCCTCTCGTTTTGTGATTGAAATTGATCCAATCCTTTTCTTGATTGGAGAGGAATGGAAGCAAGGAACATAAGGGATGGTTTACGATTTTGATACGCAGATTTTGAAATGGAGGGAAGTATATAATTGACAGAATATCTGGTTCCAGTTATAATTAGTGTTCTTGAACGCTTCATTAGCTACTTGTCACATCAAGTTAATATCTGTCATTAATGAATTTGTTTTTTGAAAATAAATATCCCTACAAAGTATTCTTCTTTTGCTTTCCTTTTTTTCAATGTCTTTTCTCACTTTCTCATTCTAGTGATGTGTGGAGAGGTTGAGCTAGCCTGCTTTATGCTGAGTTCATGTTATTAACCTTTTGATGAACATTTTTTTTTTGTGCCTGGCAGAAAAGTCAGGCATAAGAATGTCGTACAGTTTATAGGTGCATGTACTAAACCTCCAAGCTTGTGCATAGTAACAGGTGAATCGAATATTTTGCTAAATTTTCTTCTAACCCTATTGCACTGAATAAACCAGCATACATTAGTTCTTGCGGTTAATCTGAAGCCATTTTTCTATTTCTTCAATTCAGAATTTATGTCTGGTGGTAGTGTCTATGACTATCTACATAAACAAAAGGGCACTTTTAGGCTTCCATCCTTGCTCAAGGTAGCCATTGATGTTTCTAAGGGAATGAACTACTTGCACCAAAATAACATCATTCACAGAGATCTCAAGGCCGCTAATCTTTTGATGGATGAAAATGAAGTAAGGACAATTTCTTTCCGGTCTTTCATTTTGATGTCATGCATGCTGCCTCGACGTTATTTCTTTATATGGGTTGTTGCAAATTTCTCTAGATTCAAAAGCTTGATAATTGTAGATGGAGTTGTATGTGTAAATTGTATAATTTAAACTCAATTTGTTTTGTTATTCTGAATATGTGCATCTCTCTCACACCACCTTACCCTACAGGTTGTCAAGGTTGCTGATTTCGGCGTCGCCAGAGTGAAAGCTCAATCAGGAGTCATGACTGCAGAAACTGGGACATATCGGTGGATGGCTCCTGAGGTATATATTCATGGGAATATGGAGATTCAATATGTTAACTGTAGGACCTGGCATTATCCCATACCACTCTATCATGTTATTGCGCACAAACCACAGATTACATGCTCGAATATACGTGGGGTTTTGGTACTCGAGTTATAGAAACTAACCTTCAATCCCGTGCACACCGAACACTGTTAGCCTGTTATCATCTGAGTATTCTGGCTGCTGTGATTCTAATCAAATTGGTATATTGCTACCAAGTAGTCATTCGTTCTACAAAAACTAGCTGAAAGTTTTCGGAAATAAATAGTAAACTCATATTGTCATCTTCTTACTCCAGTTACTTCGTATTGAAGGTTATTGAACACAAACCCTATGATCACAAGGCTGATGTTTTCAGTTTTGCAATTGTCTTGTGGGAGCTGCTTACTGGAAAGGTACAATAAATAAATGGCGATCCACCATTTCTCCCTCTCCCTGCAACATAGTTCCTAGCTTTCTTTTTCCTTTCCTATAAACGATGGCCGTTTGTTTTGCTTGCTAGCTACCCTATGAATTCCTTACTCCATTACAAGCTGCAGTCGGAGTGGTACAAAAGGTACAATTTTATTCCATAAAATTAAGTGCTCCAATGGCTTCCTGAAAGAGAAAAAGAAGCATATTACTTGCATAAATTAGTAGTCTAATCGGTCATGTATGTTTTTTTTCAGGGTTTACGGCCTATTATTCCAAAGCACACTAATCCGAAGCTGGCTGAGTTGCTGGAAAAATGCTGGCAACAAGACCCCTCATGCAGGCCTGACTTCTCTGAAATTATCGACATATTGTTGCAGATAACTAAGGAAGTAAGTTCTTTCTATATTTGCTTGTCTACAGTTTTATATTTACTTAAAAAAGAATGTTTCCTTTATTTAATATTAATACTATTAGGTTATTTATTTTTTAAAATTGTGTTTATGGTTTTAAAAACCCACATTTATTAGTTTTTAAAATGTGACTGGGATTTTGAAAACATTTCCAAAAAATAGATAACAAAAATAAATAAGCTTAATTTTCAATATCTAAAATAATCGAAAGATTATTAAATGTGACCTCGTTTGTTTGATTATTTGTCTTAAATGAATAAAAAAATCTGTAGCCTAAGTTTCTATTGAAGTTAATATTTAAATATTCTTCAATTTAATTCTTTTAAATTCTTGATTTTATCTGTTAATGATATTTATTTGATTATAAATAAGATAACTCTCGGTGGATTAATCCAACATTCTCAACTATTATATTAAAAAATGGCTTAATTTTGTTAACAAGTAATTGATGTATAATACCAAATTGACCCATCGAAGTTCATTACTTCTAATTGGCAAAATTTAATAATTATCATATCCAAGAAAGTTTCCATTAAAGCATATAAATTATAATATTTTGTTTGCAGGTTGCAGAAGATGGCGACGAACGACGGAAGGAGAAGAGTGGAGGATTACTTTCTGTGTTGAGACGAAACCACAATGAGAAGTGAAAAGAAGAGAAAGAGCGTTGCCAATTTTACAGTCGCCGTCGTCATCATCACTATGTATAGTAAATTTGCCCTCACTCCTTTTACTTTCCTTCATTTTTTTTCTTCTATCAATTTTTCTAACCGATTAATTATTTTCCCCACTGCCGAAGTTTTATGCTTTTTTTTTTTTTTTTTTTTTTTTTTTTTTTTTTTTTTTTTTTTTTTTT